TTGCTATTCGGAGCATCATCTTTATTTCTTTCAGTTGGTTCCAAATGAAGCAATATCTACCTGTTTAAAAATGCAAGAAATCATATGAAACATCGGCTGTGGTAATGAAAACTCGCCCTTGTTTTTGAGAATTACAACTGTTTCTGGTGTGTGTGTGTGTGTGTGTGTGTGTGTGTGTGTGTGTGTGTGCGTGCGTGTGTGCACGTGTGCGTGTTAGATATGCCAGTCTATATTTCTGCTGTGCGGTGGAGGATCAGGACAATGAGTTGATCACCCTGGAGATCATCCATAGATATGTGGAGTTGTTGGACAAGTATTTTGGCAGTGTGAGTTTCCTCTTATATGCCACACCCAATGTTCAGTATGAGCACTAACTTTAAACCTAACCTCACCGACTGTGATTCTTGTGTCCTCGTAGGTGTGTGAGCTGGATATCATCTTCAACTTTGAGAAGGCCTACTTCATCCTTGATGAATTCCTGTTGGGCGGAGAAGCCCAGGAAACCTCCAAGAAGAATGTGCTGAAAGCCATTGAGCAAGCAGACCTGCTGCAGGAGGTACACGCGTGCACCCAAAACCAGAGCTGCAAAGCAACTGAGCAGTGGACTTGTAGGCTAAACTGTTGTTCCTCTTATGCTAAAGAGCGGAAAATACAATGATGACTGAAATAGTACTCAACATAAAAATGGCACCGTTATCTTCCCAGGATACTTTATACCCTGCACAAGAATAAACTGCGTTCAGTGGTGTATTTAGATGCGAATGAACCATCTTGAGAGTTCACGACTGTTTAGCTGAACATAAAGAATCACAGTTGTTATTTAAAAAAAAAAAAAAAAAACTTAAAAATATTGTTGAAGCGCTTTTTTGCCCTTTTCGTGTGTATTTTCACTTGGAACTTTAAGCTTTCTTTTCTAAAAATATAACAAAAAAATCATTTATTTCTATTGCTTTATTTTACTGTTAATTTTCAACAAATTAACAGTAAACTTAATCAATTTACATCCTGACCAGACTTGAAAGGAAGCCATCAAGTCATCACAATTGGTCCCACCCCCCCAATTTATTTTTTTGTAATGAAAAAAAGCATTCCGCTGCGCCGACTGCAGCACGCGAGGCCGCTTGAACATCGAGTGTTGATTTCCTATCCAAGCTACCTGATGCCCACTGGCGTGCTGATTTCAGTGGCCAGAATATCTTCCACCGGGCTCTCGCTGAACTTGACGGGGGGGCCTTCAGTGACCACCACCAGCTCCTCCTCTTCCTCCACCACCACCTGGGAGTGCCGATTTGGAACCATGAGACGCCGCCGCCGCCAATAAAACGGGAACGTGTGGGACGAACGGCGCCGGAGTTGCCGCGCTCACCTTGGTTTGCCGTCTGCCGCTGGTCCGCGCGGTCACCGGCGTTTTCCCTCTGCTGCGCACGGGCCTCTCGGCGACGGGGACTTGCTCCGGTTCAGTGACGGTCATTTCCTCTGAAAGGCGCAAAAATAAAAGGGACTTTGGCACGATGTCGGTTTGGTCGAGCACGGAGGCGTCGCCTTAGGTTGTCTGCATTGGAACGGTGAATTTCCCTTGTGGATGACTTATAAAGTATCGATACATCCAAGATCAATAGTCACCATCTTCCTTGTCGCTGTACTGGTCAAAGTCGGTGTTGCCGTTCTGGTTGGCGTCGACTTCGGGGAGGACGGTGACGTCAGCGGCGGCGGCGGTCTCGGCTTCCGCCGTCGGCTCTTCCAGCAACTTCTGCAGCTTCTTCTCGTATAACTTGCGCGACGAGGCTGCAAATGCACAAAATCAGGTCTTCTTTTTTCCGGTTCAGGCCACTGGCAGAGTACTTTTTGTGTCTTTCTACATCAACGTTATAAGCTACGCAAATAGGTTCCTGATCTATGATGCAAGTCTTTGTATTTATTTTCGATTATGTCCGGTCCGTGTGTAGTCATGTACGTGTACTTGTGGCAAGTAAATATACTGGTGTGCTGCAAGCGGCACATTTGGTAAAGCACTGTTCTTCCGGTGAGTGTCCAGCAGTCTGAAACTCAGACGTCAATCTTCATAAATATTGGACCTACGATGTCTTGATTGCCATTTATGACGTTGTTGGCCCCCTTGAGGGCGCAAATGAAGCTTTCCGGAGGGCCCGACTTGGACACCCCACAATGACTTGCTGAATATATGAGGTCAAGAACATTTCAACAGGACCACCACACCATGGCCCCAGAGCGCCGCCACGCTAAGAGGTTTCACGTTAGACAGTGAATTCCGTGAAAATGCATCTCATTCATCCTTTCTCATGAACAGCGGTGACTACGGTGGGCAGCTTATCATGTGATCATTACTGGAGCATGAATGGGTGAAGATGTGGAACTCGTCACAATGAGATGTTATGAAGTGACTTTGGACCTGTGTGTGTGTGTGGGGGGGGGGGGCTGTTTACCTGTGATGTATGACGGAAAGAAATCTTTCATTCATTCAAAACCCGAGAGGGCTCTCAAGTGGCGAAAAGACCAACGTCATTTCAGCCACATGTACCTCGCGCCGAGAATGACCAAGTCAAGTATGTTTCAGTGTCATTCCGGCAATGCTGCAACTTACCCACGACGGGTCCCGCGTCCACTCCATACTTGGCGAGTTGCAGTCTAAGGTCATCGTCGGTGAGTTCCGTCACCTCCACCTCGATGCGAGGCTTGTCCGTCTTCCTGGTGGCTTTCTGCGCGGCATGTCGAAAACGTGCCGGTGGTTAAAAGCGGCGCGCGGTGACGAGTGAGGCACGCGATCAAGTTTGGGGAGACTCACTCTGCCGGAGCGGCTTTTGTTGGTGGAGACCACGGGGGCGGGCAGCTCGTCGTCGCTAGAGAAGGTGTCGGCGGGCGGGCTCCTCTTGTTGTTCTGCACCGTTAAATTCTTCAAATAGAGCTGCACGTACACTTCTTTCTTGTGCTCGCCGCTCGGCAGCGCCACGTTGTTGGCCGCCAGCTCGTTCTTCAACTTGTCTTTGGTGAGCACCGACGGGTCTTCCAGAAACTCTGCCATGTTCGCCCTCGAGTTTGAAGCGCGTTCCGAATGGGCCGGCGGATAACGGAATCGCGGCGGGAAAGCAACGCGAGCGACCGCGTTGTTGTCAAACAGGATTGACTGGCGCCTAGCCGCTAACGCTAGCAGGCGTCCCGCTAATTCAGCCGAAACCGAGCCGCGCGTTCAACTTTTAGCCGGCCCGATTCGATACCGTCGCGTGGTTTGGATTTTTCCAAGGCCTTTCGGCGCGTTTGCTCCCGTGGAAAAGTGTCGCCGAAGACGAAATCTGCAATTGAACGGAAGTTAGCAGTTAGCTTCCTACCGGCCCACTCGCCTCTTGTCTGTCCGCGGTCCGACGGCGACCGGGAAGCACGTCGCCGCGCCATTGGCCCAGCGCTGCCAGTAAGCGCGAGGCCGATTGGCTCGCTCTCTGAATGCGACGCGCTGGGCCTCCGACACCCGAACAAAGAGAACAAAAGTGCAGACTCGGGGTACGGGCACCGGCGTATTTTTCCAGCGAATAATGGCAACCATGAGGCGTTCGAAACACCCCCTTAACGCCAGTGTATAGTTACGAAGGACGCATCCGTGACTTGGATCAACAACATAAATGGTGCTTGTCGTCGTTGGCTGCTCGGTCAGGCCTTTTGTTCGTAGCGCCCCCCACGCCAGCTCCTGTCTTTTTATTTGAAAGGACGTTATTTTAACCCTCGGGTCCTAATTCCGACCACGTTAAATGTGGGAGTATCAAAACACACACCAAACGACCAGTCCTGGTTTTCTTTTGTCTCGTCTGCCTGAATGCAAAGTGCTGTAGTCTTGTCTTTTCACCAGAAGAGAGCAGTACGAGTCGTATTATTAAAATGGCTGCCTCCTCGAGACCCTGGCTGACTCTTTTTATTTTCCATGCACGCATATTTGGACGAATATTCTTATCGTAGTTCACGTCTATATCAAATCATGAATTACAGATCTTGTCAATATGTATTCATAGCCTGCCTGACATCGAGTGGAAAATCAATCCCGATCAAGAGAAAAGAGGATGTGTAGTTTTTGGTTTACACCACTTGATTTATCATTAAAAAAAATACCTTTGTAGAACTTTTATTAAAACGACAGATTACCTCACAAACCGGCCACAGCACTTGAGAGCACAGCGCTGTGAGTCGTACAGGCTTCTCTGCATCGCCGGGGCGCCGCAGGGCACCGTCCCCGGCTCCATTCCTGTTCACTCTCTACACCTCGGACATCAGCTACGTCACTCCAACCTTCTCTGATCATCGGCCTCATTATGGACAGAGATGATCGGGAGTACAGGGGACTGACGGAGGACTTAGTGGACTGGTGCCCGCAGAAGCACCTCCAGATCAACGCCAGGAGTTGGTTGTGGATTTCTGCAAGAAATAGTCTTCGCCTGCACCGATGAACATCCAGGGTACGGACATAGAGAGGGTGACCTCCTACAGGCACCTGGGTGTTCTTCTCAACAATAAACTAGACTGGTCCACCAACGCGGACGCTCTGATCGGGAAGGGTCTTTTGGAGTTCAGGGGTCACTCCTTAAGACCTTCTATGACTCTGTGGTGGCCTCAGCCATTCATTATGGCATCGTGTGCCGGTCAGGCAGCATCTCCGTCCGGGACAGAGAGACACGAGCGACTGGTCAGGAGGGCCAGTTGTGTCCTGGGCTGCTTCCTGGACACTCTGGAGGAGGTGGGCAACAGCCCTCCAGGAGACATTTTTAATATGCTTATATTTTAGATTTATTTCTATACTTTTTGTTCTCCTACTTTCTCCCTTTCATCATTTTGCTGCTGTAAATTGGCAACTTCTCCATGGTGAGACAAAGGTTTTCATATCTTCTACGTACGGCAGCGGCCGAACCGCGGACAAAAGCCAGCATCCCCTCGAGACGGACGCACGCCGGGCCGTGTGCTGCGGTTGTGGCCGCGGGGACAGCGGTTTGAGGCGGCATTGTGGCTCCCCTCGCTCGTCCTTCGCCCACCAGCCCCCCCCCCCCCGTCGCCGCCACCGTCAGCGGCACTCTCCAGGATGCTTCTGCACCGCGCCCCCGCACACCAAAGCTAAAAAGCACACTTAATACGGCACTTGAAGCGTAGTTCAGCTTTTCCACAGCTGACCTGCCAGTGCAGCGAGAGGCTGCAAATGTGGAGCCCTTGAGAAACACCTCTTAAGCTTTCTTTGTGCGTAATTTATACAGAAAACAAGGCGCGGGCCAAGAATCATAGCGAGCACCTCTTTAAGCATAACAGTCGCGGCCTCTGAAAAAAAAAAAAAAAAAAAGATCAAAGTTGGCCGCGGAATGGTCAACAGTCACATTTTCAGAAGAAGTTCACTTTATTCAAGCAAATGGGCCCCGGCGGTGGTGGGTCTGATCTGATGTCTCGTGACAGATAACTGCAAAATAAACCAGGGGAACAAATTAAAGGCCTGGTAGGAACCAGACAAACACGGCCGGCCGCGCGGTGAGCAGTCAGAAGGTTACATTGATCCTTTTCATTTCTAAAGTGTAACAGAAACGCCCCGGCGAAGCGATGAAGTCAGACTCCCCGATTGAGTTGATCTTGGAGAGTTTCAATAAACCGCGGCGGTCGGCCATTACAACTTCTCACCCATTGCCACTCAGCTTTGAACATTTCCTGGGACGATCGCGACCTTGTCGGGCCGCGCGCGCGTGCGCGCATTGATCCAAAACAAGAATAGAGATTGTTTTTTTTTTTCCGGCATAGTCATCCGCTTTCGGCGAGCACTTCTTACGAGAGCTGCGTTCGGCGAAGCTCAAAGGACGGATGCTTTAGCGTTTGGCTTTGATTTCTGCCCACCGAATGTGAATTGAACTGTTCACCCGTCACCACTGCATTCAAAGTCAAGCGCTCAGCGCTATTGAGCATCCGAAATAACGCTTGCTTTGGGAACAGGTCGACACTGATTTCAAGCAGCCCTCTCAATGGGCATCGATTGGCCAAATTGGCGATCGACTCTTCGGGGTGGGTTGTCAACTCCTCCAAGATGGGATGCAATTGGCAAAGTGTCTCAAAATGTGCATTCCTGCAATTGGGAGCTTTGTTTCCACCATGGAGCTGAATTTGAAGGCTCGTGTGCTCAACAAGCCAACACCATCCATCCATCCATCCATCCATTTTCCACCGCTTATCCGGGGTCGGGTCGCGGGGGCAGCAGCTTTAGGAGGGAATCCCAGACTTCCCTCTCCCCAGCCACTTCTTCGAGCTTTTCCTGGCGGATCCCGAGCCAGCTGGGTGACATGGTCTCTCCAAGCGTGTCCTGGGTTGTCCCACTGGCAGGAGGTCCCAGGGAGGCGTTCAGGAGGCATCCTAATCAGATGCCCGAGCCACCTCATCTGGCTCCTCTTGACGTGGAGGAGAAGCGGCTCGACTCTGAGCCCCTCCCGGATGACCGAGCTTCTCACCTTATCTCTAAGGGAGAGCCCGGACACCCTGCGGGCGAAACTGATTTCTTGTATCCGGGATCTCGTTCTTTCGGTCGCGACCCGTAGCTCGTGACCATAGATGAGGGTCGGGATGTAGATCGAGCGGTAAATTGAGAGCTTCGCCCTTTGGCTCAGCTCCTTCTTGACCACGACAAGACCGCCAGCGACGAGCCAAACACTCTGCCCTAAAACCAAGGGCCACTTTCCCGCACTAATATGTCACAGCGACATTTGATCATTCCGCCACATTCAATTGGCAAACTAATGAGGACAAATCCCGAGTCGTTTCCTGTGGAGAAAGCCGGTTAGCACCCGAGCAAGGCGGCTTTCAGACTGGCGTGCGTGCGTCCTGGCCTTGACACGGCCAAGTCGCACAGAATGTTTTCATGTGTTGACAATCCAAATTTGAGTTGAAAGGACACACGGCGAGTTGCAGACACGTCCGTCAGAAGAAAAACGAGACTCCCTCCCTGGCCCTCGCCGGTGCCCATTTGGAGGGTGGCCCGCTTGTATCGTAAGCGCTCCTCCGCGTGTTTGTGAAACCATTACAATTTGGACCCTTCCCGTTTTAGTTGGCCTTTGAATACAGACGCACACTTTCTAATGTCCTCGCTGAACTTGGGGTGGGGGGGGGGCTGGGGGGGGAACGCTTCGCCGTGTCAGCTTTCATGAAGCCAATGAAGAATTTCTATTAGGACTGCGCAAAAGGAGCTGACGGGATGCCGCGTTGGGTCATCGCGGGGGAAAATTCCACGTGGGTCATCCATCTTGTCCCAAGCGTCATTTTTTGAGGCAACTGGGAGGGGCCTCTTTTGGAAGCCTGCGTCCACGCGGCTCACATAGGTAGGAGCAAGTCCTAAATCAGTCCCAGCTCGCCAGCAAAGTTGAGTGGCCACTTAAGTCAAATGTATTCCTATCGCCCTTCATCGCAAAAGAGAACTTCCCATCCCCGCGGTTCACGATGGAGGAGCGAAGGCGGGGAGAGGGCAAAATCCAGATGTCACGGGGTGAGTCAGTTGCATCCCGGGCGTGGTTTCACCAAATGCGGAAAAGTGCAAAGAGGCCTCGAGTCGAAAAGGAAGGCAAATTCGAGCTGCGCGCAAACCGAAAGAGCTTCTTCTGAAGCCTGCGTGCGTCCACAGCTTCCGCGATAAAAACATCGAGAAAGTCCAGTCGCCACTCCGGTCAAGTCAAGTTGAGCTATACGACTCTCATCACAAAGAAAGCTCACAAAGCAGGAGCTTGGGGGGGGGGGGGCAGTGGCTGCGAAACAGGCCAAAATCCAGATAGATTCCTGTTAAAAATGGACTTCCTACACCCTACTGGCCAATAACGGCGTTGCAGCTGCTGGAAGTCACTGGGAAAAGTCACTTTTAATCTTAGTTACTTTTCAAATCTAGTCATCAGTAAAGGAAGGAAGTTCCTTCTAAAATCAGCGATCGGCCAAGTAACGAAGGAACTTTTCAACGGTAAGTTGGGCAACAAAGCGGAGGGCGAGCTCACACGGCCCCGTGCCAGCGTCTTGAGTTCACAGGAAAGAAACATTTCCGTGCTTGGCTTGGCCGTCGCTGTCGACAAGCAGACCCGCCTCTGCTTAGCTTTTCTGTCCGTGCGGTCGAACGTCGGTAGCCGAGCGGGACGCCAAAAGCCTCACATAAGGCCCCTGTCATGTGCTGGCGAGATGCCGCCGCCGCCGCGGCCCTCCGCTCTTTCTCTTCTTTGACGCGCACCCGCGTTCTCAGCTCAGAGCGAGCCAGTCGCCGTCCGGGAGCTTCGGCGGGAAAGCGGACCGGCCGAGAGAGACTAAGCAGCAACGCGCCCCGCAGCGTTCCCGCAGCTCGGCGCATTCCATCTTTAAGTGCTGCGTTTTCAAACGAGCAACCGGAATGTTCGGCGCGTCTGCACAATGTAAGGAGATTGCTCCGATGTAAGAGCTCCATCAACAATTCTGTCTGGTGGTGGCCAATTCGGCGCACTTCACAAGAAGCAGCAGAAGCAATTTGACAAACGTTGGTTAAAAAAAAAAAAAGCTTTAAGCTATTTATCGCCAAAACTGTCGCGCACTTGACTTTGGAGTCAGCCTATCCTCCATCAAGCATCTCCAGTTGCTCCAGAATGCTGCTGC